AAAGAATGAATACAGGAAGAACAAAGTTGGACTAACACTTCCCAATTTCAAAACTTACTACAAAGCTACAGGAATCAAAACAGTGTGGACATGAGGACAGGAACGTAGAACAATGGAATAAAATTGAGTCCATAAATAAACCCAAACATGATTTTCGACAGAGGTGCCAAGATCATTCAGTGGCTCCATCAGTTAGACCTCCAGTGGTCTAACTGATGGACAGAGCTCCCTCTTCGCATATCCCAAAGCCTGATCTCATGAATGGCACGTAAGCTCGTGCTCTAATTACACAGCCTCATCTTCCCTGCCTCACTCCAAGTTTTACAGGGAGAAGTCACATCTTACCATTTGTTGTATCTTCCTCTTTGTCTAGCACAGTGCCTTACGCAGACAAGATGCTAAGTGTAGGAGTGGCATGTCTGCTTGTATACAGCACAGTGCTTGTACAGTCTTGGTCTGTGCCATCTGGAAGTTCACCAACTTAGATCAGTGACACTGAGCGATATAAGTGTGTGTAGAGGCTGTAGAGACTTCTACCAAAGAGGGATAGACTGCAAATAGATTTATTCTTAGATAGGAAAAGCAGCATTAGGTATACCAACTGGGCGTCCAAGCAAAGACAAAGTACACAAGCCCTTACAAACAGGAACTGAACTTCTTCTAGGGTGCATGCTTCATGTGTGCCTATCACCAGTATTCCACCCTGAGTGCAACCAGGACGAGGGCTTGGCACACTCCTCCCCAGTCCCTCCCCTCCCCACTCTGCCCACCGTGCCTCTGTTACTAATATGGACCACATGGCACCCTAATCGTTCATGTTTACGTCTCTATGCACTGCGCTGGTCTCAAAGGCAAGGACAATGCTTATTTGCTTTTCTATAGCCTTAGAAGTAATTCAAGAAATATTTGACAAACAAACGAACAAAAGAATGATTATTTAAAACTAGAAACTGTTCACGTACGTATTTACAAGGTTTTCCCCAAAGAGTCAAGTTTTAAATTTTAATCAAGAGGTAAAGAAGGCAATTCCGCTTTTAAAGTTATTTTCCACTATGGAGACTTTTCTGCTTCCTGGCCCAGGTATAATCTTCTAAATTTCACAGGGGCTCAATAGATGGTAAATTCCTTCCAGGCATGATGACAGCCCACAGTCACCTGGTGATGGTTTCAGATGTTCCTGCTCTGTATTCTACCTGCAAAGACAGCAGCCTGAGTCAGCCCAATGGGAAAGAAGTGTGTCGTATTTGGAGACGTGACTCACTACTGTCCTCAAGGGAAAAACAATCAGATCATCATGACAGGAGTCGCCACCCAGGTCACAACCACCAAATCTAAGCAGTCAGAAAGCAATGGCGGGAATTCCCTGGTGGCGCAGTGGTTAAGAATCCACCTGCCAATGCAGGGGACACAGGTTCGATCCCTGGTCCAGGAAGATCCCACATGCCGCAGAGCAACTAAGCCCATGTGCCACAACTACCGAGCTCGTATGCCACAAGTACTGAAGCCCGCATGCCTAGAGCCCATGCTCTGAAACAAGGGAAGCCACCACAATGAGAAGCCCATGCACTGCAACAGAGTAGCCCCCACTCGCCGCAACTAGAGAAAGCCCGCGTGCAGCAACGAAGACCCAACACAGCCAAAAATAAAATAAATAAATAAATTTATTTTTAAAAAAAAGAAAGAAAGCAATGGTGAAGGCACTAGAACTTAAAGAAGAAGAAATAAAATTCTCTAAGCTATCCGGAACAGCCTTATCTTATTCTGTGCACAAAAACACACACATGCCATAGTCAACTTAAATGTGTAATAAAGTGTTTTCATTGCCTGTTCAAATTAGGAATCTAATCTCATGCTTTTAATTAAATGCACTCGATCACAGAGATAATACACGGGGGATGAGCCCCTCTGCAGGGTAACGAATAACTACACAACAGAGTTTTGTTTGCTTTTGTTTCATTTGGTTCCAGCTCTTCATTCTAGGTTAGGCAGAATCACTTATTTGAAAGGAATTTCTAGCCACTTCAAAATCATGCAATTTACTGTTCAGGTAGCAGAACACAGTAGTTGATTATTGTCGGAAAGATCTGGGCAAGCGGCGCTGCCAGCCATTCGAGCCTGATCACCTTTCTGAGGCTCTGTAAGATGGGGTTAGTAACAGCATCCACCCAGAGCCATGTTGTCAAGGTTAAATGAAAGAAAGCCTCTAGGGCATTTAGTGAGAGGCTGGCACTCCGTCTGCTATTATCACTGCCCCATCAGCCTCTCGGTTGTCATTTCAGCATTTAGCTGAACCTCTGAAGGGCCATAAAGATGGAGAGTTGTAACCATCAATTTTACCATTTCTTGGAAGTTCTATTTTCAAAGGCAGGGGAGGGGAGGAGAGGGGAGGGAAAAAAATACAGGAGGAAAGACAGCAAGAATGGCAAACTGAACAGAGGCATAAAGTGCCCGGAGCCAGGCTTCCGCCACACCGTAGGAACTCAGAAAACAGAAGGTTAGCTGCACTTGCAAATGCTGTCTGTGGTTAGTGACTGCCAGGCACACAGTGTAAGCATTTTAACTACAGACGTCAAAACACATTCGAGTCTGAGAACACAGAGCAGAACTCTGTCATAATAACTTCAACTTCAAACAGCAAAGCCCACACAGAAATTCTTTTATAAAATCATTTCTTCTTCCTTTTCTTTAGTCTCGCTCTCTCTTGCAAGGTATTTAACTTAAATTTTATGTGTACCATTTCCCAACAAACGAAAGCACATCCCACCACCACGGTGAATCTCTCAGACACGTTTGCATCTTAGGTGTCTTCTTTTTTTTTTCACTTTGCCATTTCCTCCAAGAATCACCTGACGTGGCTGATCTAATTGTAGAACAGCAGTCTCATTAATGTGCAATAATGACTTGGAAACCTGTTTCAGAGACTGTATTCAGCCAATTACTGTGTGAATAAACCTCATAAAAACCCATCCAGGATACTGGAAACATACAAGGAAGCAGGATTCCAAGCGACAACTCATATGTGACTCACCCTCCCACCCGAAGCAAAACAAACAAAAACACCACAGAAAACAAACAAACAAAACAAAACACCACAGAAGTATTTGAAGTTAGTTCCTACTCAAGAAGAGATTAAAGCTTACATATTTGCTCCCAGTATTTTGTGTTTTCTATTAAAATACATATACACCTCTTTTATTTTCCTGTTTCCTACCACTCTCAATTTTCTTTCTCCCTCTAAAATCATTCACTCAATCCAGAATCATGGATACTAAAATGACGACGTAACCTAGTTCCAACTGGCTAGAAATTGTTTCTATGACGTGCAGGACAGGCTCTGTTTAAATATTTTCAACTAAGGGGGCTCTCTGTTAATAAATGGCTCTCACCATTTGAAAACAATGTTTAATAACATCAGAGATTAATTTTTACTGAAACATTTTACTACGCGCCAGACCCTGTGCTAAGCACGTCACGTGCATCACCTCCACTAACTCTCATAAAGAAACTTTGAGGGCGGTATCGCTGTGCTCATTTAACTATGAGAGAACCGAGACTGGAGAGGTTAAGCAACCTGCCTGAAGACACACAGCTGTCAACTGACAGAACACGTGCTGCTTCAGACACGCAAGCCCAGGCCTCCCAACTTTTACTCACAGGCCCTCGTTTGCGACCCCTCTGCTTGCTCTTCTCCAGGACAAGACCTTCAAATACTGGAAAACCACCCGAGGAGCACGTGTTGCTGTGCTGGGCCAGCTCTCCCGCAAGCATTGCTTGGCCGAGTGGAGAGGAATCTGTGAGCTGGCTGGTCCGGGCCCCTGGGGAAGAGGGGGCAGGGAGGCCAGGCCCCAGGTCTCCCAGCCCAGGCAGCACCAGCTCCTGCGTTCACGGCCGCCCCATCTCCCGTCTCCCTCCAGCCGCGTTCTCTAAGGTCACGACCTTACCCATGGTCCATCGCAGCTCTGAGTCACCAGAAGGGACAGCTCCCCTCCGGTCTACGGTGGGAGGCCCGTGACCAGCCCTGAATCAGAGCCACCACCCTCCCAGACCACAGAGCGCATGTCCTTCTCCAGGAGGGAGGAGCGGGGTAGTGGGGAGCCGGCTCATGGGGTCCCCTCTGCCTGCTGCTCAGGCTGTGACCCCCTCCCCACAAGCCCAGTCTCAGCCAGCTTCCCATGGAGGATGTACACTCTGAACAAGTATTTTTAAATTTAAATTCAGATAGTGACTTAAAAAAAAAAACCTCAGAGCTCTGAAATTAAGTTTAGAGATAATCTTTTTTTTTTGGCTGCACTGCACGGCCTGTGGGATCCTACTTCCTGGACCAAGGATCGAACCCGGGGCCCTCGGCAGCATGGAGTCCTAACTGCTGGACCGCGAGGGAATTCCTATAAATAATCATTATTGTTAAGCAATGGTCCTGCAGAGGAGAGCTGGAAAGATCCTTCTCGAGTTCTTGCAGAACGGGGAGAATGTCATCAGAGCCCCCATTTTCCTCCCTCCCTCCCAGTCAGGGAGCACTGCCAACGCTGAGGGTGGCAAACCACCAAACATCACAGGCCTAAGTATTTTTATATTGTGTTTTTAGCATATTTATGAAATACCTGCTGAATGTGGTTCCAAATGCAGTAGGAACAAAAAAAGGGATTATATGTTGGCTTTGCTCTTAAATAGTTTGGAAGACAAACCACCCTCCTGGGACATGCATCAAAGACCTGTCGGCAATTACAAAGCAGCTGATCAACAGATATGAAATCACAAAGTGCAAACCAACGCCGGGCGCTGGTAAGGAAGAGCTCCAAAACCAAGAAGCTTTTGCAAAATTAGCCACGAGAATGAAGTTCTTCCAGAGTGAAGTGCCAGAGCAAAGTCTGGAGGGCAATACAAGGAGAGAAAGACGAAGGCTAGTCCTACAGGAGTAGGTGAACGTGGATGCAAATGAGCCTGTAAAGGAAGTTAGCTGGGAAGAGAGAGCCTGTAAATAAATGTGGATTCTCTTCTACCTGAATTTACCAGTTGCTGTTCCATCACCCCACAGCCAAGAATTTCTAGCCATTCCCCGTGGAAGTTGATCTCCATCTCGAAGGAAGGATGAGTAAAAGGAAAGTAGCAGTCCACCCATCTGATGTCCAGCCCTGCAAAGACACCAAAGAAAAACAGACATGGAGCATTAAAGGCAGTCTTGCCTTTCCTGTGATCAAAGCTGCCCTTCGGCTAATGACACCAATTCCTACATTCTGACTAAAATAAATAGCAAACAAATTAATTTGCAACACTTTGGGGGGAGGCAATAAATCTTAAAACTTGTGAAAAACTGGGCATGTCTTTTCCAATATGAAAAACACTTTGTGTAGCTCCAGGACCCTCTAAAACCAAATCAATCACCTGCCAAATCCCTGCAACCACCGGGCAGAGGAAAAAATTAGGTCAAGATAATGGGAAAGCAGGTAATTCTGCTAGTTTCTATAAGTGAAAATGATATCTTCTCAGAGTTAAAGAAAAAATACCTTTACTGTTCTTCAAACTTACATATCAACAGTATGACTAATTCAGGATAAACTAATCAACTTTCACTTCCATAAATAGATATATTAATTTTTATTAACTTTATAAGAGCTAATAAAAGGTTAAATGAAATAAGATCAGCTAAATTTAAAAAGTCAAAACATTTTTTTCTACAGATGAATGATAAATATACTCACATCCAAGACAAACCAAAAAAGTACATGCTAAATGCCAGGATGAATTTCTCAATATGCAATCATAAATATGTCACTTACAAACAATAATATTATCATTTAACAAAGGAAAAGACTAATGAATTGAAAACAAGTCAGGCCTGCAGAGAGCAGAGGTCACTAAGAAGAGAAGGCAGAATAGGAGGCCACGTTAGCAGCCAGATGCCCCTGTGAGGACACCCAGAGCCCTCACAGCGCAGGCACTGAACAAAACCAGTAACAAAACTTGCTTCCGTTTACTGAGCACTTACTACGCCTCTACCATTCCCATTTCATAGAGAGGTGGAAAAACTATTAGGAAGGTTGTGTGTCCTGCCCATAGGCACACAGCTAGCAGGTGACCAGGCTACACCCGGGGCTGCCCGACTCCAAAACTCCTGCTCTTGACAATTAAAACATAATTCCCTGCCCATCGAGATATTTCAAGAATCAAACGAACAGAGTTATAAAACAAAGGAGCTCTTGCTATGCTCAGAATGATATAGGAGAATATAGGTTTTTCTTTCATTGTTCTGTTTCAGTTGCATTTATTTTTCTAGATACCTGCTGTCAATGGCAAGTGACAACTGATTTCTGTTTACAGTCGTAATACAATATTTCCCCCTTTTATTATACATGTGGTATAACAGACAAATATTAAACTCCACGTACATACTGTGCACACGGTTGATAAGTGCTGACATACGTATACATCCATGAAACATCATCACTATCAATATCAGGAACATGTCCATTACCCCCCAAAGCTTCCTCATGCCCCTCTGTAATACTCCCCACCTGCCCATCAGCCTCGCCTCTCCTCCTCACCAGCCCTCCTTCCCCAGGCAACCACTGACTTCCTCCCTGTCATGACAGACGAGCTGGCATTGCCTAGAACTTTATGAAAATGCAGTCACACAGAATGTATTCTTTTTCTGTCTGGGTTCTTTTACTCGGTGTGATTATTTTAAGACTCACCCATGTCGTTGTGCATGTCCACAGTTCATTCGTTGCCATTACTGAGGAAATTTCGCCAACATTTTTTCTACCCGGGAAAAAAATGTAGATGTTGGGGCAGTGTCTGCAAGTCCCCCGATATTTCTGTACAGAAGCCCCTACGTGCAGACCAGTTGCCTACTTGCCACTGAATTCTGCGAAGAAGGGACCTGGACACCTGTGTGCTCATCCATCTTTGGGACCAATAATCCCCTACCAATATTGTATGAAAAAGCTCCAGAGACGACCCCACTGGCAAACAGAAATGTGTAAAGTGTTGGGATGTATAACTGAGCACAGAGGACGGGCAGACAAAAGCATGTTATTCGTTCTTTTTGTAACTCCTGGCAGGTGAGCACAGATCACCTTCTGAGAACAATTTGGAAAAACAAATTCTTTATACATGGCTTTTTATACCCGGATCAAATTTTACCGAAAGCAAGACGAGTTTTCAGGGTTAACATGATGATTTCATATAATTCAACACCACTAAGTGCCTGGAATAAAGTTAGGTACGGTCTACACAAATTAATTTTCCTGTATTTCCTTATTTTATTCCTTTGGGTAAAGTTTATCTCTTTATACCTCACACCTAGAAAGCTTAGGTTCCCCCCAGTCAGAGAGAAATCAACTTGAAAACATTAGTAACGCTCAAAATAACCACAAGTAACTCTATTATCAGTGTTCATTAAGCCTGAACTCGACCTCTCCTGCATGCACACCCATCCGAGCTGTCGGTGCCAGTGGTGTCAAAGCACAAGGACTGAACTGAACGGCGGTGTGACGGTCTCTGCCCTTCTCTAGGAACCTTCTTTTATCAAAGGACTTTGGCTTTACCACTTGTGAAACTACAAAACATTATAACTTTGGATAAAAACTTTTTTAATGTTGACTAAATTCTCAAGATAAAATGTCCATATGTTGGTCGCATCAAACCTCGCTCTCTTTTGGTTGAAGGCCTCCGTCACCACAGCCCTAGGTTTCCTTTTGTTCAACCATCCTACTACAGGTGTGTCTCTTTCAGTAGCAATGAAAGTAACGGCTCCACAGTGAAAAACGCACCCAGCAAAGAGTGACAAGGCAGGGAAGTCTGCCAAAGTCTCTCAGGACACATGAGATGATTAACATTGCGCATCTAAGAGGCAGAACTCACTGACGGCAACAGCACAGAAACTAACCCAGAAAACACGGACTGGCAAAAGCTGTGTCCAGTGTGGCTAGAAAGTTTCTGATCCTTTTACCTCCTCAGATCCTTTGCTCAGATCCTTTTTAAACCTGTGACCCTGCGAAGAATGCCAAATCCATAAACCATTCACTTCCTTTTTGTACTACCTTAAGGATTTCTTCAGTTCTTAAATTCGTCTTCCTTCACATAAACAGGAAAATGGCAAAATCTACAAAGTCCCACCTTCGAGAAGCCTATGGCTATACTTCAAACATAAATAGTCACTATTTAAAAGTAAATTATATTAGTTCATGTGTAATTTTTATCAAAATACCATATCCTTTTACATATTCTAGCAATTTAAATTTTAGTTACTTTGACACATAATAGTAATTTTTTTCAAGCTGGTGGTAGAATCATTTATTAATTACTTTTATATTACCCCCAAATATACACTTTCTTCTCGTTTTCTCCCCATAACCTCAAAATTATAGTAAGGATTATTACAGCAGATTGAAAAAACATCTTGACTGCAGCGTGTATCAAAGATGTGATATTGAATAACCACCTAAAAACTATGTTAAGTATGGCTTACTTCACACGTCAAGTATCAGGAGTCTGTGAAAAAAATCCACTAAGAACTAGGCTTTTTGAATTATACATTAATAGAGGGAAATTTGGGGTAAACATGTCCAAATCATATGGGTTCACTATGCATTACGTTATTCTCCTTATTGGTGATTAGTTTAAATTACATTAAATGTACATATATTATATACCTAATGGAAAATAATGCCAAAGTTCTTTCTTTCTTTTTTCTGTTTTATGTGTGTGTTTCTCTTTTTCTTTTTGGTTTGGATGTAATAATTTACTAAAACATATTGACAAATGAAGTTCAGAGCTTTTTAAAAATTGTCTCAGAACCCTGTGAGATTACAGCAACTGTCAAAAATTATATATTAATTTTTAGGCTAGAGCCAAGTAGAAGAATAAACCAAAAACCTGGATTCAAGTCTCATCCTGCCCTTTTTGCTGTGAAACTGTGGGTAGGTTAACCAACCTCTCTGAGCCCAGCTGCCCCATCTCCACACCGTACAGCAACAGCTGCTCTGCCGGTGATTGTGAGCAGAGGGCCTAGCAAGTCCCAGTTTTCCCAGAGGCAGAGATGCTCTCTGGAGATGCAGGCACCTGCTCTGCTTCCTCTCCTGAAGGAGGATGCTGAGAGCCCAAAGTCTAGGATCATTCCCTCAGCTGGGACCCCAGAAATGACTGGTGAGCATTCCTTCAGAATGGTGGTATCATAGAGAACAGACTGGTGGTTGCCAGTGGGGAGAGGGTGGGGGAGGGATGGAGTGGGAGGCTGGGGTCAGCAGATGCAAACTGTTACATGTGGGATGGATAAACAACAAGGTCTTGCTGCGTAGCACCGAGTACTATATTCAGTATCCTGTGATAAACCATAATGGAAAAGAACATAAAAAAAGGAATACATAGGGCTCCCCTGGTGGCGCAGTGGTTGAGAGTCCGCCTGCCGATGCAGGGGACGCGGGTTCATGCCCCGGTCCGGGAAGGATCCCACATGCCGCGGAGAGGCTGGGCCCGTGAGCCATGGCC